ACTGGACCATAGTATAGTCTACAAACTGGGGGGCTACTCCATATTTCGATTCGAAAGAAAAAGTTTTCGAAACACAATGTATATAACATACAATTTCGAAAACTTTTTCTTTCGAATCAGTTACAGAGTAACCCCTCTGGACTATAGTCTAGTCTATAAACTGGAATATAGTCTAGTTTATAAACTGGACTATGGTCTAGTCTATGGACTGAACTATAGTCTAGTCTATACAGTCTAGTCTATAATTCGCAATATAGTCTAGTCTATAATCTGAGCTTAATCCAGTCTCTAGTCTATAGTTTAAACTGTAGTATAGCCTATGGTCTGGACTTTGTCTAGTCCTTAGTCAGAACTATATTCTAATCTATATTATGGACTATAATATAATCTATAGTCTGGACTATAGTTTAATCTATATTTTGGGCTAAAGTTTAATCTTTTGTTCGGACTATAGTCAAAACTATAGTCTGAACTATAGTCTGGACTATAGTCTGAAATATAGTCTGGACTCTAGTCTGAACTATAGTCTGGACTATAGTCTAAACTATAGTCTGGGCTAGAGTCTATCGGAATTACAGTCTATTCTGGACAATAGTCTATTCTATAGACTGGTGCAGTTTTGAGTTAGAGCACTTTTGCATAAAATAAACCATATATGTATGTTTTTTTCGCAAACCTTCATTATTTTATTATTTATTTTTTTTTTATTCATATGAAATGAATTTCTTCTAATAAAAATAAAAACAACTTGACGTTTTATGGTGGATTTTTATTCAACTTAACGAGCCAGTTCAAATATTCGTATTAATTAGTTCCGTAATATAAATGACAATATTATTAATTATTAAGTATTAATAAACTAACACATATGTACATACATATGTATATATGTATGTACGAACGAATGTTCTTTATGAAGACATTGAACATGTCGCTTTCAAAGAGGATCTAAATAAATTGTAAACTAAAGTGAAGGAATGATTATGAATAACTTTTAAATCTTATAGATATTTTTATGAAAGGTCTTTTTCAATGATTAGATCATGATGTTAATAGAAAATTCAATATTCATATAAATATTAAAATAACTTGCTATTTTAGTTTGTCAGTAAAGTTTAAGATTTATAACAGAATTTTGAACCAGTTCCCTTAGCCCAACTAAGCTATAAGGAATCTTGATATTTTTCCGCTAAAGTTTTATTCAAAGTGTAAAAATCAATTGACAAAGTATCAACTTTCACATTTTTCATGCTTACTACTTATTTCTAAAACTGAAATGTGTAAAAAAATTAAGAATTTGTCTTTTATTCGCAAATCCTTATTATACCACAAATGTTTATTGCCTGCCTATCTCTCTTCCTTCCTCTTGCCTAGTTAGTTATCGCATGTTGCTAATGTTGTCAAACTCAATTTAAATGATTGATTTGGGTACAAAATCTGCAAAAAGTAATTTTACAACAACGTACAATAAATACAACATAACAAGGTGGGATTAATTAAGGACATGCAGGTTACACACATTTTCTAAATAGATACTCTAGGGATTAGATAAATTGAATAACAAAATCTTCCTAAACATCAATTTATTCTTTTAAGATTTATGACCTTTTCAGAAAAAATAGAAATGTTTCTTTTTAATATGAAACAGAAATGATATAAATTTAAATTTATTTCTTTCTATTTTTTAACGGAAAGAATGCAAAATGAGTTTAAAATGTTTTAATTGTTTGATGATAAGAAATAGTTATAAAAATGTATTTAAAATGTTTTAAATGCAGTTATACAGCTAAAATGAAGGTGTTGTGCAATTTTCACATAAAGATCAAATGCTACAAATTTGTACAATTTATCTTTATGGTCAAAATGGAAAAAATAAACTTAAAGAGTTTTGTTTTGTGTTTTTTTTTTTTAATTTTTGGTATAATTCATTAAATCTTGATTAAAACCGGCCACGAAAAAGCCACAAAATAGTTAATATTTAAACATACTTATACACACACGTACATTTGTGTGTATTTGAGTACGGAAAAATATGTAAAAAACGTAACAACCGAAAAAAGAAGGTGAATACCAACCAACCACCACTACTGACCAACATTGCTTAAGTAAGCACATGCTGTAAAAACTGCTCAAAAACAACACCTTCGCGCATGCGCAATAATGTAAAGCAAGTGAACTTTTTTGTTTTGCTTATTCGTTTAGCGGCGATGTTAAGTGTTAAGTACGTTTTTTGTCTAAAAAGTACCGAAAGAGTAACAAACAGGTATCCAAAGATTGACTATATTAAACTCTGGACCATAGTCTAGACTATATATATATATAGTCTACTCTATAGTCTACTCTATAGTCTACTCTATAGTCTACTCTATAGTCTACTCTATAGTCTACTCTATAGTCTAGTCTATAGTCTAGTCTATAGTCTACTCTACAGTCCAGCCTATAGTCTAGTCTATAGTCTACTCTATAGTCTAGTCTATAGTCTACTCTATAGTCCAGTCTATAGTCTAGTCTATAGTCTAGTCTATAGTCTAGTCTATAGTCTAGTCTATAGTCTAGTCTATAGTCTATTCTATAGTCCAGTCTATAGTCTAGTCTATAGTCTACTCTATAGTCTAGTCTATAGTCTAGTCTATAGTCTAGTCTATAGTCTACTCTATAGTCTAGTCTATAGTCTAGTCTATAGTCTAGTCTATAGTCTGGTCTATAGTCTAGTCTATAGTCTAGTCTATAGTCTACTCTATAGTCCAAAGTCTATAGTCTACTCTATAGTCTAAAGTCTATAGTCTACTCTATAGTCCAAAGTCTATAGTCTACTCTATAGTCCAAAGTCTATAGTCTACTCTATAGTCCAAAGTCTATAGTCTACTCCATAGTCCAAAGTCTATAGTCTACTCTATAGTCTAGTCTATAGTCTAGTCTATAGTCTAGTCTATAGTCTAGTCTATAGTCTAGTCTATAGTCTAGTCTTAGTCTAGTCTATAGTCTAGTCTATAGTCTAGTCTATAGTCTAGTCTATAGTCTAGTCTATAGTCTAGTCTATAGTCTAGTCTATAGTCTAGTCTATAGTCTAGTCTATAGTCTAGTCTATAGTCTAGTCTATAGTCTAGTCTATAGTCTAGTCTATAGTCTAGTCTATAGTCTAGTCTATAGTCTAGTCTATAGTCTAGTCTATAGTCTAGTCTATAGTCTAGTCTATAGTCTAGTCTATAGTCTAGTCTAAGTCTAGTCTATAGTCTAGTCTATAGTCTAGTCTATAGTCTAGTCTATAGTCTAGTCTATAGTCTAGTCTATAGTCTAGTCTATAGTCTAGTCTATAGTCTAGTCTATAGTCTAGTCTATAGTCTAGTCTATAGTCTAGTCTATAGTCTAGTCTATAGTATAGTCTATAGTCTAGTTCTATAGTCTAGTCTATAGTCTAGTCTATAGTCTAGTCTATAGTCTAGTCTCTAGTCTAGTCTATAGTCCAGTCTATAGTCTAGTCTATAGTCTAGTCTATAGTTCTAGTCTATAGTCTAGTCTATAGTCTAGTCTATAGTCTAGTCTATTCAGTCTAGTCTATAGTCTAGTCTATAGTCTAGTCTATAGTCTAGTCTAGTAGTCTATAGTCTAGTCTATAGTCTAGTCTATATCTAGTCTATAGTCTAGTCTATAGTCTAGTCTATAGTCTAGTCTATAGTCTAGTCTATAGTCTAGTCTATAGTCTAGTATATAGTCTAGTCTATAGTCTAGGCTATAGTCTAGTCTATAGTCTAGTCTATAGTCTAGTCTATAGTCTAGTCTATAGTCTAGTCTATAGTCTAGTCTATAGTCTAGTCTATAGTCTAGTCTATAGTCTAGTCTATAGTCTAGTCTATAGTCTAGTCTATAGTCTAGTCTATAGTCTAGTCTATAGTCTAGTCTATTAGTCTAGTCTAGTCTAAGTCTAGTCTAGTCTAGTCTAGTCTAGTCTAGTCTAGTCTAGTCTATAGTCTAGTCTAGTCTATAGTCTAGTCTAGTCTAGTCTAGTCTAGTCTAGTCTAGTCTAGTCTAGTCTAGTCTAGTCTAGTCTAGTCTAGTCTAGTCTATAGTCTAGTCTATAGTCTAGTCTATAGTCTAGTCTATAGTCTAGTCTATAGTCTAGTCTATAGTCTAGTCTATAGTCTAGTCTAGTCTAGTCTATAGTCTAGTCTATAGTCTAGTCTATAGTCTAGTCTATAGTCTAGTCTATAGTCTAGTCTATAGTCTAGTCTATAGTCTAGTCTATAGTCTAGTCTATAGTCTAGTCTATAGTCTAGTCTATAGTCTAGTCTATAGTCTAGTCTATAGTCTAGTCTATAGTCTTGTCTATAGTCTAGTCTATAGTCTAGTCTATAGTCTGGTCTATAGTCTAGTCTATAGTCTAGTCTATAGTCTAGTCCGTGTGGAGTTGTCAGATCTCCCATCGGACGCGTCCCAGGTGGCGGATAGGGGGAGCTAAGCATGGTCTTTTTCGACACATTGGACATAATGGTCGAAAACGACGACGCTAGCTCGAGATAAGGCAGACCTGACTAGATACATTTTTGACAAATGGTCTAACAAGCCTGTCATATCTAGATGAGTGCATGAATCAGGACAATCTTTTATCACATCAGTGGATACATTTTTGACAAATGGCCTACTGATATGTAAAGAGATGGTAGAGTGCTGATATGATTTATGGTACATCTGATAACAGGCGGTCATATATGATAACAGGACTTCTCCTGTTCCCCATGCACAAATCCGCGGACCAAAACTGTCAACCCCACCCCCATCCCCATATTTCCCAATCCACCTAGTTTATCCCTCTTCAATCCAATCCCAAGAACCCATTCCCTCATCCCCCACTTGTAAGGTTAAGGTGGTTGGAAGCAGTGCCGAGAACCTGAATGGCTAGTTAGTGGTTAAAGAGGACTAGTCGTTAACAGCTCCCCTCCGATGCCAGGGCACGGATCGGTTGTAATGCTTAGCCTAGCCCACGTACGCCGTCCTTGCGTGGGTCGTCCACCCATTACGCGCCTACTCGTGGGAATCACATGGAGAAAAAAACAAATAAACAAACAAACAACAAACAACCCGTGGAAAGCCAGTTGGGGAAACCTAAACTGGTGGACTGCAAACAGCCTGCTATCCAACCTTCTGGTGATAGCACGGCTGAACGCAGCGAGGAAATCTTGTCCGTAGTGGCAAGCACCTCATCAGCTGCACAAGCCTTAGCTGGTACGCCAGCAAATACCCCTGCCTCGGGCACTGCGGACCAAGCAGTGACCCCCGCGACTTCTGGACAGGTTGGATCGTCGAACTCGATGTCGGGTCCAACTAATGCCCCCTCAACCGCCCTCACGGCTAACGAAAACCCCCCTAGTCGCAAAGATCCATCTAGGAAGGCTTTTGTTCAAAGGCGTGCCGCCATGCGTTTAGTCGAGCGACTTGGAGTTAAGTCGGTCGATACGCTTACCCCGGACGAAAAATCGTCCCTAGATTGGGCTAAAGCCCTACTGGCTCAGCCGGAGTGTTCTGACCCTCCTACAACCTCAGATGCAGCGGACCAAGCTACATCTGCAGGGCCTAAACGGCAGCGATCGGAGGAAGAACATGCTCTCCAGGCAGTCCCACAGCCGAAGACTAAACGTCAGAAGCAGTTCGAGACTCGTATAGTCAATAGACCCTACAGCGAAGTTGCCAAAAACCCGCTGGTTAGGGCCATTGTTGACAAGAGTGTCAACGACGGAGCTATCTCCCAGGATAAATGGTTGATAATCCGTCAAAAAATGCTGGAGGTGTATTGGAAAATTCTCAAAGAGAATCCCGGTCCATCTCCGCAGAATGATGATGCTGGCTGGTACCAAGGTCACATCAAACTGCTGGCGTGCACGAACGAGCGCTCAGCAAACTTGCTTAAGTTGGCGGTTACGTCTATAGGGGAAGTGTGGCCCGGCGCGAAACTTGACGTGATCCCGGTTAGTGAGATACCTCGCAGACCGAGATCAATCACGGTTATTCCGGCGGAACCACACGAACCAGAGGCGATTCTGGCGTACCTTCAGAGTGGAAACCCTGACCTACCTACCCACAATTGGAAGGTAGTCAAGGTCTCCGAACCTGAAGGTGCTAACAGAAAGGCGGTCGTGGTCCTTAATAAGGAATCGTTGCCGTTACTCCGAGAGAAGCAAGGCAAAGTATACTACGGATTTGATAGTATCAAGCTGCGCGTCTACCGGGGTGACGACAAACTAGACCCCAAACCGGTAAGCACGGACGGAGGAAAGGTAGACGATACCACTAACTCTGACGACCAAATGGACGCCCAATCAAGTACAGACTTGATTGGGAATCTATTTGATAGCCAGGGCGAAGTGATTGACGAAGACGAGCTTCTGAAAACAGACCCAGAAGACGCCGACGTCACAATCGTCTACGACCCTGACCAAGATGAAGGTGATCCAAGTGAACCTTCACCACTCTAAAGCAGCTTCAGCTGCATTACACCTCCACCTTGGATATCAAGGGGAGGATATAGCGTTGATCCAAGAGCCGTGGACCCATAACGGCAACATACTTGGAATCAACGTAAAAGGCTATAAAATACTATACGCAAAAGGCACAGGTAACATTAGATCTTGCATACTTGCTAAAAGCACCCTAAATATCTTCATTCTATCTGATTACAGTGATGAAGATACAGTAACCGCAGCATGGGAGACAGAGGAATCCACAATGTGGATCCTCTCCTGCTATATGGCGCACGACCAGACAGACCCCCCGCCAAGTAACACGGTCGTCAGGGCAGTAAGTGCAGCAAACGGAAAACGCATCCCTGTTATTATAGGCGCAGATGCAAACGCACACCATACACTATGGGGTAGCACCAACATCAACACACGAGGTGAGTTCGTATTAGACTTCATTTTAAATCATAATCTTGAAGTAGTAAATAGAGGTTCAGAACCTACATTTGTAGTTGCAAATAGACAAGAGGTACTGGACATAACGCTTGTAAATACAAGTCATTCGCACATAATCCGAAACTGGAAAGTATCGGAAGATTGTTCCTTTTCAGATCATAGATATCTCGTATTCTCGATAGAAAATACACAGGAAAGGAAAACCCCCTTTCTAAACAGAAGAAAGACAAGATGGGAAGAACAAAATCGAATCCTGACAAGTCTTCTTCAAAACACGCCGGAAATAAACAATACAGCAGATATTGATAGAGCTGTAGAAAACCTTACACGCTCTCTTAATCAAGCAACAAGAAGAACATGCAAACCTTCGATACCAAAGGGTAAAAGTAAACCTCCTTGGTGGTCCTCGGAAATAGCGAAGACTAGGAATAGATGTCGCAAACTTTTCAATGAGGCCAAAAGATCAGGTGAATGGTCCACATATAAAGCCTCATTGAATAAATTTAAGAATCAGGTTAGGAATGCTAAACGCTGCTCATGGAGAAGCTTCTGTGGTAGCATCGAAAGCTCTTCAGAGACAAGTCGTTTATGCAAAATCCTGTCTAAATCACAAACCGTTCAAGGCTACATCCAAAAGCAAGACGGTGAGTGGACAACGAGTGGACAAGAATCCCTACAGGAATTAATGGACACTCATTTCCCAGGTAACTTACCATTAGATATTACAATGGAAAGACCACAAACGTATTGTCAAACCCCGATCGGAATCACTATAGACGAGGGAATGATAAAATGGGCAATAAACAGCTTTAACCCATATAAGTCACCGGGCCCGGACGGCATAATTCCAGCTGACCTGCAATATAATGCAGAATTAGTTATACCATGGCTACTTGAAATATTTCAAGCCTGTCTTACATGGTCATACGTACCAGAACAATGGACCAAATGCAGTGTGACGTTTATCCCCAAAGGAGGAAAAACAACGCACATTAAGGCAAAAGATTATAGGCCCATAAGTCTATCATCGTTTCTGCTTAAGACCCTAGAGAGGATCATTGACGTCCACATAAGATCGTCAATAGATCCTATGCTCCTATCTCCCTCACAACATGCCTACACCAAAGGCAAATCAGTTGAGACGGCCCTACACTCACTAGTGGGACATATAGAAAAGTCCTTGGAATTTGGTGAATACACGTTAGTGGCCTTTCTGGACATAGAAGGAGCCTTTAACAACGTCAAACCCGACATCATCATATCAGCTCTAGAAGAGCTCGGTATTGAGACATCAGTGATTAAATTCATAAAAGACCTTCTTCAACACAGGATTATCCGTTCTAACATGGGAATGGCATGTATTCAAAGAATGGCAATCAGGGGCACACCTCAAGGTGGAGTCCTATCACCACTTTTATGGAATGTGGCCATAAACAGCCTACTAATGAAACTGGACAACCAAAGATACAAGACTGTCGCTTACGCAGATGACGTTGCGGTAGCAGTATCAGGTTTCCATCTGAATACGATATCTCAAAGACTCGAATCAGCACTCAATCTACTAAGTAAATGGAGCGTTGATAGTGGTTTGAGTGTAAACCCTAGTAAAACCGAACTTGTACTCTACACCAGGAAATACAAGATCGAAAATTTTACCCTACCTCGACTAAACGGAGTCGTACTCTCACTTTCGAACAGTGCGAAATACCTAGGGGTGATACTTGATAGTAAACTATCATGGAAGGAAAATATCACAGCCAGAGTAAACAAAGCCTTAATGGCAATGTACATTTGCAAGAAGGCAATAGGAAAAAGATGGGGACTAAATCCCAAACTGGTAAATTGGATCCATGAAGCGGTTATTAAACCTATTCTCTTTTACGGGGCTGTTGTCTGGTGGAAAGCACTGGACAACAACTCCAATTGTATACTTCTTGATAAGGTACTAAGAAGGATAGCAATCCTTATAACAGGAGCACTGAGAACAACTTCAACCAAATCTCTATTCGCAATGCTTAATTGGATCCCAACGGATCTGATAGCCAGAAAACTGGCACTCATCACTGCCCTCAGACTTGATGCCATAAATGCTTGGACACACAGGCCATACGGCCATGCGGCTATTATGAGGGAAACATCTTTCCTCCCGGGCAATATTGATTACTGCATACCCAAACCTTTCCTCCGTAGGGACTTCGGATACACAATATCCGAAAACTCTTCACCGGAGGATAACAGTTCCCCAAGAACCCTCCTGGTATATACGGATGGTTCTAAAAAAGGGGAACGAGTTGGAGGTGGCATTTTTATCCCTGAATTTGGAACTAAAATAAGCTTTAGGATACAGAATAATTGTAGTCCACTACAGGCTGAACTATCAGCCATAAAAAGAGCAGCAAATTGGCTTTGGTACTACAGAATATCAAACAGAGATATTCAAATTTGTACCGACAGCCAAGCTGCTATCAAATCCCTGATTGGTGTATATACTACATCTAAACTAGTCCAGGAATGCCGGGCATCCTTAAACAGGATGGCGAGACATTCAATAATCGTGCTCAAATGGGTACGGGGACACGGGGATTTGACTGGCAACTATATCGCTGATGAATTAGCGAAACTAGGAGCCTCAATGTCCGACAGAGACATAGACATCTTTTGCGGAATACCGCTAAAAGCTTGCAAGACCATAATAGATGGAAAGTTCTATGAAATTTCTCAGACAAGATGGCGTAATGAACCAACTTGTATCAATACAAGGAAGATATGGCCAAATTTGGACAGTAAACGCACGTCATATCTTCTGCAACTAAACCGCCCTCATATCAGCAACCTTGTTGCTGTCATTACGGGGCATATCTCATTGGGAAACCATGCAAGAAGACTTGGAATTCCCCACAACGACTTCTGTAGAAGCTGTCAAGACGAAGAGGAGGAAGAATCCATCGAACATCTTCTCTGTCAATGCCCGGCGCTAGCGGACACTCGATCCGTATATCTAGGAAAACGACTATTTGATGACTTGTCAGAACTATCCAATCTAGGACTGGATAACATAAATGCCCATCAGGCACAGTAACTGGTTTTAGGACCACCAAGCCATAATTAAGGCACTCACTAGTCCGCAAGGACAGACCTCTCAATCTTCTCTTCCACTTCAATTTCTCTTCTAATGACTTAATCCTAAACTATCTTCTACTATCCTCTACCCTCTTTCTTTATATTTTATTATCTTTACAGGTATCACAAAGGGACCAACAGGACCCAAGTGTGCGTCTTTGCAGCCTGAATACCTAACCTAACCTAACCTAGTCTATAGTCTTGTCTATAGTCTAGTCTATAGTCTAGTCTATAGTCTAGTCTATAGTCTAGTCTATAGCCTAGTCTATAGTCTAGTCTATAGTCTAGTCTATAGTCTAGTCTATAGTATAGTCTATAGTAGTCTATAGTCTAGTCTATAGTCTAGTCTATAGTCTAGTCTATAGTCTAGTCTATAGTCTAGTCTATAGTCTAGTCTATAGTCTAGTCTATAGTCTAGTCTATAGTCTAGTCTATAGTCTAGTCTATAGTCTAGTCTATAGTCTAGTCTATAGTCTAGTCTATAGTCTAGTCTATAGTCTAGTCTGTAGTCTAGTCTATAGTCTAGTCTATAGTCTAGTCTATAGTTAGTCTATAGTCTAGTCTATAGTCTAGTCTATAGTCTAGTCTATAGTCTAGTCTATAGTCTAGTCTAGTCTAGTCTATAGTCTAGTCTATAGTCTAGTCTATAGTCTAGTCTATAGTCTAGTCTATAGTCTAGTCTATAGTCTAGTCTATAGTCTAGTCTATAGTCTAGTCTATAGTCTAGTCTATAGTCTAGTCTATAGTCTAGTCTATAGTCTAGTCTATAGTCTAGTCTATAGTCTAGTCTATAGTCTAGTCTATAGTCTAGTCTCTATCTAGTCTATAGTCTAGTTATAGTCTAGTCTATAGTCTAGTCTATAGTCTAGTCTATAGTCTAGTCTATAGTCTAGTCTAAGTCTAGTCTATAGTCTAGTCTATAGTCTAGTCTATAGTCTAGTCTATAGTCTAGTCTATAGTCTAGTATAGTCAGTCTATCTTAGTCTAGCTATAGTCTAGTCTATAGTCTTCTATAGTCTAGTCTATAGTCTAGTCTATAGTCTATAGTCTAGTCTATAGTCTAGTCTATAGTCTATCTATGTCTAGTCTATAGTCTAGTCTATAGTCTAGTCTATAGTCTAGTCTATAGTCTAGTCATAGTCTAGTCTATAGTCTAGTCTATAGTCTAGTCTATAGTCTAGTCTTATAGTCTAGTCTATAGTCTAGTCTATAGTCTAGTCTATAGTCTAGTCTATAGTCTAGTCTATAGTCTAGTCTATAGTCTAGTCTATAGTCTAGTCTATAGTCTAGTCTATAGTCTAGTCTATAGTCTAGTCTATAGTCTAGTCTATAGTCTAGTCTATAGTCTAGTCTATAGTCTAGTCTATAGTCTAGTCTATAGTTCTCGTCTATAGTCTAGTCATAGTCTAGTCATAGTCTAGTCTATAGTCTAGTCTATAGTCTAGTCTATAGTCTATAGTCTAGTCTATAGTCTAGTCTATAGTCTAGTCTATAGTCTAGTCTATAGTCAGTCTAGTCATAGTCTAGTCTAGTCTAGTCTAGTCTAGTCTAGTCTAGTCTATAGTCTATAGTCTATAGTCTAGTCTAGTCTAGTCTAGTCTATAGTCTAGTCTAGTCTATAGTCTAGTCTATAGTCTAGTCTATAGTCTAGTCTATAGTCTAGTATAGTCTAGTCTATAGTCTAGTCTATAGTCTAGTCTATAGTCTAGTCTATAGTCTAGTCTATAGTCTAGTCTATAGTATAGTCTATAGTCTAGTCTATAGTCTAGTCTATAGTCTAGTCTATAGTCTTGTCTATAGTCTAGTCTATAGTCTGGTCTATAGTCTAGTCTATAGTCTAGTCTATAGTCTAGTCTATATGTCTATAGTCTTGTCTAGTCTATAGTCTAGTCTATAGTCTAGTCTATAGTCTAGTCTATAGTCTAGTCTATAGTCTAGTCTATAGTCTAGTCTATAGTCTAGTCTATAGTCTAGTCTATAGTCTAGTCTATAGTCTAGTCTATAGTCTAGTCTATAGTCTCGTCTATAGTCTAGTCTATAGTCTAGGTCTATAGTCTAGTCTATAGTCTAGTCTATAGTCTAGTCTATAGTCTAGTCTATAGTCTAGTCTATAGTCTAGTCTATAGTCTAGTCTATAGTCTAGTCTATAGTCTAGTCTATAGTCTAGTCTATAGTCTAGTCTATAGTCTAGTCTATAGTCTAGTCTATAGTCTAGTCTATAGTCTAGTCTATAGTCTAGTCTATAGTCTAGTCTATAGTCTAGTCTATAGTCTAGTCTATAGTCTAGTCTATAGTCTAGTCTATAGTCTAGTCTATAGTCTAGTCTATAGTCTAGTCTATAGTCTAGTCTATAGTCTAGTCTATAGTCTAGTCTATAGTCTAGTCTATAGTCTAGTCTATAGTCTAGTCTATAGTCTAGTCTATAGTCTAGTCTATAGTCTAGTCTATAGTCTAGTCTAGTCTATAGTCTAGTCTATAGTCTAGTCTATAGTCTAGTCTATAGTCTAGTCTATAGTCTAGTCTATAGTCTAGTCTATAGTCTAGTCTATAGTCTAGTCTATAGTCTAGTCTATAGTCTAGTCTATAGTCTAGTCTATAGTCTAGTCTATAGTCTAGTCTATAGTCTAGTCTATAGTCTAGTCTATAGTCTAGTCTATAGTCTAGTCTATAGTCTAGTCTATAGTCTAGTCTATAGTCTAGTCTATAGTCTAGTCTATAGTCTAGTCTATAGTCTAGTCTATAGTCTAGTCTATAGTCTAGTCTATAGTCTAGTCTATAGTCTAGTCTATAGTCTAGTCTATAGTCTAGTCTATAGTCTATAGTCTAGTCTATAGTCTAGTCTATAGTCTAGTCTATAGTCTAGTCTATAGTCTAGTCTATAGTCTAGTCTATAGTCTAGTCTATAGTCTAGTCTATAGTCTAGTCTATAGTCTAGTCTATAGTCTAGTCTATAGTCTAGTCTATAGTCTAGTCTATAGTCTAGTCTATAGTCTAGTCTATAGTCTAGTCTATATAGTCTAGTCTATAGTCTAGTCTATAGTCTAGTCTATAGTCTAGTCTATAGTCTAGTCTATAGTCTAGTCTATAGTCTAGTCTATAGTCTAGTCTATAGTCTAGTCTATAGTCTAGTCTATAGTCTAGTCTATAGTCTAGTCTATAGTCTAGTCTATAGTCTAGTCTATAGTCTAGTCTATAGTCTAGTCTATAGTCTAGTCTATAGTCTAGTCTATAGTCTAGTCTATAGTCTAGTCTATAGTCTAGTCTATAGTCTAGTCTATAGTCTAGGTCTATAGTCTAGTCTATAGTCTAGTCTATAGTCCTAGTCTATAGTCTAGTCTATGTCTAGTCTATAGTCTAGTCTATAGTCTAGTCTATAGTCTAGTCTATAGTCTAGTCTATAGTCTAGTCTATAGTCTAGTCTATAGTCTAGTCTATAGTCTAGTCTATAGTCTAGTCTATAGTCTAGTCTATAGTCTAGTCTATAGTCTAGTCTATAGTCTAGTCTATAGTCTAGTCTATAGTCTAGTCTATAGTCTAGTCTATAGTCTAGTCTATAGTCTAGTCTATAGTCTAGTCTATAGTCTAGTCTATAGTCTAGTCTATAGTCTAGTCTATAGTCTAGTCTATAGTCTAGTCTATAGTCTAGTCTATAGTCTAGTCTATAGTCTAGTCTATAGTCTAGTCTATAGTCTAGTCTATAGTCTAGTCTATAGTCTAGTCTATAGTCTAGTCTATAGTCTAGTCTATAGTCTAGTCTATAGTCTAGTCTATAGTCTAGTCTATAGTCTAGTCTAGTCTATAGTCTAGTCTATAGTCTAGTCTATAGTCTAGTCTATAGTCTAGTCTATAGTCTAGTCTATAGTCTAGTCTATAGTCTAGTCTATAGTCTAGTCTATAGTCTAGTCTATAGTCTAGTCTAGGTCTATAGTCTAGTCTATAGTCTAGTCTATAGTCTAGTCTATAGTCTAGTCTATAGTCTAGTCTATAGTCTAGTCTATAGTCTAGTCTATAGTCTAGTCTATAGTCTAGTCTATAGTCTAGTCTATAGTCTAGTCTATAGTCTAGTCTATAGTCTAGTCTATAGTCTAGTCTAGTCTAGTCTAGTCTAGTCTAGTCTAGTCTATAGTCTAGTCTATAGTCTAGTCTATAGTTCTAGTCTATAGTCTAGTCTATAGTCTAGTCTATAGTCTAGTCTATAGTCTAGTCTATAGTCTAGTCTATAGTCTAGTCTATAGTCTAGTCTATAGTCTAGTCTATAGTCTAGTCTATAGTCTAGTCTATAGTCTAGTCTATAGTCTAGTCTATAGTCTTGTCTATAGTCTAGTCTATAGTCTAGTCTATAGTCTGGTCTATAGTCTAGTCTATAGTCTAGTCTATAGTCTAGTCTATAGTCTTGTCTATTGTCTATAGTCTAGTCTATAGTCCTAGTCTATAGTCTAGTCTATAGTCTAGGTCTATAGTCTAGTCTATAGTCTAGTCTATAGTATAGTCTATAGTCTAGTCTATAGTCTAGTCTATAGTCTAGTCTATAGTCTAGTCTATAGTCTAGTCTATAGTCTAGTCTATAGTCTAGTCTATAGTCTAGTCTATAGTCTAGTCTATAGTCTAGTCTATAGTCTAGTCTATAGTCTGTAGTCTAGTCTATAGTCTAGTCTATAGTCTAGTCTATAGTCTAGTCTATAGTCTAGTCTATAGTCTAGTCTATAGTCTAGTCTACAGTCTAGTCTATAGTCTAATCTATAGTCTAGTCTATAGTCTAGTCTATAGTCTAGTCTATAGTCTAGTCTATAGTCTAGTCTATAGTCTAGTCTATAGTCTAGTCTATAGTCTAGTCTATAGTCTGGTCTATAGTCTAGTCTATAGTCTAGTCTATAGTCTAGTCTATAGTCTAGTCTATAGTCTAATCTATAGTCTAGTATATAGTCTAGGCTATAGTCTAGTCTTTAATCTGACCAATTGGCTTGTCTAGTTTTAAGTCTGGTTCATAATCTTGAATAGTACAGTATAAAGCTACGGCCATAATCTTGATTAAAGTCTATTTAAGGATCTTTGGAAGTTATAGATTTTCTTTAATTTTGTGCATTTTTCCCTTTATGTCCAGATTAAATCCATACTAATTATAAATTTTTTTCTTACATATTAAATGTATTTTGTATTAGTATGTATTTTGTTTAAGTAGTTGAATTTGTAT